TACTTGTAAACCAATATATTGGTTAGCTTAAATTCATATTTACAGCGTAGGCCACCATCTGTTAAGTTGACAATTTTTCCAATTGCTTTGGCCAGTGCTACACCCTCCAGCGGCCAGTTTACTCCTGACGTTGAACGGTTCTTGAAGATTTTTTCAAATCAATTCGTGAAATGATAAAGTGTGAACGGCGATGAGAACAGGGTATGCTGCTTACCTTGTCGACAGCCGATGGACTTCACGCATTAGTGAATGACAGCGTGAAGGACGGGGGCGACCGTTGCGGAGACAATCTCTACCAGATTTAAATCTTTCTGTACCAGACTTAAATGTTTATTATTCAAAGTTCAGATTACGGTGATGGGCGATTACGGTCGAATGGAGCGTAAATCATTCATGGGAATTGCGCAGATACGACTAGATGACCTGGAATTGGGCCCGGAACCAATGATTGGATGGTACAAATTATATCACAGTTCTAGCTTAGCGTGTACTGGGCCAATCCGAAAGGACAGTGACACAAGTCTGGTCGAAATGAGACAGTGATGACTCATTCATCATCTGTAATCGGATAATTCTTTTTCTATTCCCATACAAGAAGACGAAACGACCGATTCTGCACAGTCGGATATGATTGGCTCAGTTGCCGGCGTCTCTGGAATTTTGGATGTGAAGTTTGCATGTCCTTTTCTAACTTGCGCTAAATTTTTCTGCACAAAGTCAAAAGCATTTGTTGGTATTTCTGCTACGGATATAACCCGTGATTAGAACGTATTTCCAGAAAATCATTTTCAAAGCAAATAAGCTTTTGATATTTCTACAATAAAAAAGCGCATTAGGCAGTTATTTGCTTGATAAAATTTTACATGCATAGCAAATACACGTTCACGGACATGTAATCATAAATCAGTGTTTAAAAATTCACTTCTTGTTTGCATAAAACATTGCTTAAGAAAAATAGTACGGTGATCTCATAGCGAGTCTAATGATCTGTTTTTTGTAAAATCGTTTCTTTTGCACATTCACTTACTGCGGTTGTATTTACCGTACCCGCATTTTGTTATAAAAAGGCACTGTCACTTCGAAGAGGCGAGAACCACCGGCAATAAGGGAAGCGAATAGAAAGGGGAACAAGAACGAGGAAGAAGGAGGGATGAGACGATCTGGTAAAAAAGTACGTGGAAAAAAAGCTGCCTTGCCGTCGGTTAGGCAATGAATACTAACGCACAAGGTATACAACTCGGGAGCAAAGGGCCTTGAATAGCTGCGCCCAGCGTCTGAGAGCATCCTGGTAAGATTACCACCATCAGGTACCTAAATCGATTGTCCGGAAGTACTGGTACTCATGATATAATTTGATATTTACGGAGCACTAGCACCACTTCTGCTCCTTTGTCCCCTCTATCTCCCGTCTTCCCACCTCCTGCTTTCTCCTTCTCTCATAGATTTTTTATGAAAGGAAAAAATCTCAGTTTTGAAAGATCGGGTCCAGCAAAACTTATAAATCTTCGTAGCTGAAGTGGCTTCTGGACAACGGAACACCAACAGTTCCACATGTGAGATTCAATTCTCTTCTTCCCTTAACTTCGAAGTTGCAGTGTTGCTCACCATTATTTCAGTGCAATATTCCTTGTGAAACTTAAGAATTTTCTAATCCATTGTCGCTTTTCTAATCCATAGGCCAGGCAGAAGCATTTTTACAGCACAGGCGTTTCTTTATTCCCGAATCTGGGTAAGAGCATTCCATACAAGGGAGAAAGAGGTGAATCTAAAATCATCCACATGGCATGGAAAAGTGTGAAAAAACGAATGATGGGTCAAAAAGATTAACCAGCGGTCAAAGATGACCAACAGGCGCAAAAATTTTTCGGAAAAATAGCTTATAAATACAAACGTCAGCTGTAGTGAATTGTACCTAAAAACTAAACGAGTGGTTAAGTATTCACTTGAAAAGCGCTGTTGTGAGCATATTACGTGTTTCTGAACGCTCATTTTTTATGATTCTTTTTATGCATGTCTGCGATGAAAAGGCACCTTTCCATTTATCATGATTTCAAATAATTTTATTGATAATGTTGATTAGCTTATTTCATTGTTAAAAAAGTTGCAGATGTACAGCTATCCAGTGTCGAATAAACATTATTCCATGAGCTCTGCCACTCCAAAAATGCGAAAACCGCCTGGAAAACCAATGTGGGGTTTCATGTTAGTGATGTTGTCGGAAAACCTCTGCGGGGTTGATCCCCTTCATTCGCTAGGAAATTTTTTCGATGAGGGACAGTGCTCCGCACAGTAGTGAGAGGCTTATCGTCTCTCACATCTTGCATGGGATTGTTATAATATATTAATAATGCTAATTTATTCGAAAAAAATTAGATTTATCACTAGCAGATTCTTTCCGTTATTTCTATTCGCTTAATTCGGCTTATTTGGATGGCAGTTAGACTACGTCACTCTGCTGTTGAGTCCGAATATGTGATAGGAGGGATAATTCCTGGCATACTTACCTATGCTGCATAAAAAGCAGATTCCATTTCCTGATCATCGTTTTATTTTACATCAGTGCATGAAGGCACTGGAAATACATCGTACTGCCGGAATGGCTGACGACGAAGTAGTGCCTCTTGCTCCCTCCAAGAAATAAGCTTATGGAAGAACTGGACCAGTCTATTGGATAACTCAGTGCTGCTCCTCTAGGAGGCAGTTTTTTTTGACGTACATCGTGCTGATGCAGCTGGTACTAGAATCAGCTAAAGGCTCAATAATCTTTTAAAACAGTGCTTTTTATGCGTTTTTGCATATATGCAAATGCAAACCCAGGCTGGAACGCACCGGGCGGGCCCGTGCGATCATGCGTTTTTGCACAGGACTTG